CTTCCCCCCCCCGCGCGAGCGACGCCGCCGCCGCCGGTCGAGCCCTTTACGGGAGCTCCGAGCTCGTGTTCCCGGAGGCCGTGGGGCACCCGGCTCTGCCCGTCGGGCCCCACCAGCTCGGGGGTGGGTCGGGGTTACCTCACCCCCATTCTTTTTTCGGGCCTCAACACCGCGACCCTCTCAACTTCTACCCCTGGGTGCTGAGGAACCGCTTCTTCGGGCATCGCTTCCAAGGTGAGGAGGGAGAACCGGGCATCGCTCAACCGGATCCCCCGAGGGTTTTCCCGGGATGGGGAAAGGGAGAACAGGGAGCCCTGCCCGGCCCCGGGAGGCTGCGGAGCCCGGGGGAGCCCGAGGGGAACCCGGAGACGGGACCTGTTGCTTGAAGGGCCGGTACCGACGAACCGGAGCTCCGGGGTTCCGCAAAGCGGTGCCGAGGCCGCTTCCTCGCCCGGTTCTCGGTGCCTTTGCACACCCGGGGCTCGGCGTTTGCACACCCGCTGCGTTTAGCACACCCCGAAACTCCGTGCGTTTGCACACCCGCTGCCCGAGCGCGTTTGCACGGCCGGTGTGAGGGCACCTGCACCCCCCGTGCTCCGCGTGTGGGCACGCCCGGTGCTGAGGGCACTTGCACACCGGTGCTGAGTGTGTTCACACGCCCGGTGCTGAGTGTGTTCACACGCCCGGTGCTGAGGGCACTTGCACACCGGTCCTGAGTGTGTTCACACGCCCGGTGCTGAGTGTGTTCACACGCCCGGTGCTGAGGGCACTTGCACACCGGTCCTGAGTGTGTTCACACGCCCGGTGCTGAGTGTGTTCACACGCCCGGTGCTGAGGGCACTTGCACACCGGTCCTGAGTGTGTTCACACGCCCGGTGCTGAGTGTGTTCACACGCCCGGTGCTGAGTCCACTTGCACACCGGTCCTGAGCGCGTTCACACACCCGGTGCCCGTGCGTTTGCACGCTGGTGCTGAGCGCATTTGCACACCCGCTAGGAACTGCGTTTGCTCCCCGGGTGCTCGGTGCATTTGCACCCCCGGTGCCCGTGCATTTGCACCCCCGGTGCCCGTGCATTTGCACCCCCGGTGCGGTGCGGTGCCCCGGCGTGTGGCGGCCCCGGTGCGGGGGTCGCGGGGCTCCCGGGCCCGGCGTTTCCCGCTCCTGCGGGGCCCCGAGCCTGGCGGAGCCGGGAGTTTGGGTTTCCCGTTTTCCGAACGCAGAGAAAGATTGAGGCGGGTCGCGCCTGCACGGCGAGATTTCGTTTGGGTTTACAGCTTTTGTCTTTAGCCCCTTCTTTTTCCTGCTTCTTCTCGTCTGTTTCTTTATTTTCTCTTTCTTTATCTTATTTTTCTTATTTCATTTTTCTTTATTTTCTTTTTATTTTTCTTTTTTATATTGATGTTTATTTTAATTTTTCTTTCCCCCTTTTTTTTTTCCTGCTCTCTTCTCTTCTCTCTTCTCTTCTCTTCTCTTCTCTTCTCTTCTCTTCTCTTCTCTTCTCTTCTCTTCTCTTCTCTCTTCTTCTCTTCTCTTCTCTTCTCTTCTCTTCTCTTCTCTTCTCTTCTCTTCTCTTCTCTTCTCTTCTCTTCTCTTCTTCTCAACTTCTTTCTCTTTCATTTATCTTTCTTCTCTTTCTCTCCGCTTCTTTCTCTCTCTCTCTCTTTTTTATTTTCCTTTCTTTTCCTTTATCTGTCCGTGTCCTGCCACCCTTTCCTTTCCTTTCCTTTCCTTTCCTTTCCTTTCCTTTCCTTTCCTTTCCTTTCCTTTCCTTTCCTTTCCTTTCCTTTCCTTTCCTTTCCTTTCCTTTCCTTTCCTTTCCTTTCCTTTCCTTTCCTTTCCTTTCCTTTCCTTTCCTTTCCTTTCCTTTCCTTTCCTTTCCTTTCCTTTCCTTTCCTTTCCTTTCCTTTCCTTTCCTTTCCTTTCCTTTCCTTTCCTTTCCTTTCCTTTCCTTTCCTTTCCTTTCCTTTCCTTTCCTTTCCTTTCCTTTCCTTTCCTTTCCTTTCCTTTCCTTTCCTTTCCTTTCCTTTCCTTTCCTTTCCTTTCCTTTCCTTTCCTTTCCTTTCCTTTCCTTTCCTTTCCTTTCCTTTCCTTTCCTTTCCTTTCCTTTCCTTTCCTTTCCTTTCCTTTCCTTTCCCTTCCTTTCCCTTCCTTTCCCTTCCTTTCCCTTCCTTTCCCTTCCTTTCCCTTCCTTTCCCTTCCTTTCCCTTCCTTTCCCTTCCTTTCCCTTCCTTTCCCTTCCTTTCCCTTCCTTTCCCTTCCTTTTCCTTTCCTTTCCTCTCCCTTCCTGTGCCGCGGGGGTTCCCGGGGACCCCCGATTAGGATTATCTGCCCCTCACCGACCCTCTCCTGGCTCCTGCCTCCGGCGGCTCTGCCGAGCATCGCGGCCGCTTCAGGCGACTCCCGGGGGCACCAGCCCGGCCCCGCGAGCAGCTCAGTTCCATCCCGCCCCATCCCGAGCCTGAGCTCGTCCCGCTCCCGGCCCGACAGGGACCCGGGGGGTTCCCGCTCCGGCCCTCAACCCGCAACCCCGCACGGGTCCCGCTCCCTGCCCCTCCACCTGCCTCCTGCCCCTGCTTGTCCTCCTGCTTTTCTGTCTTCTCTTCCTTTATCTGTTTTTCCTTTTCTTTCTTTCACTCGTTTCTTTCACTTCTCTTTCTTTCTTTCTTTCTTTCTTTCTTTCTTTCTTTCTTTCTTTCTTTCTTTCTTTCTTTCTTTCTTTCTTTCTTTCTTTCTTTCTTTCTTTCTTTCTTTCTTTCTTTCTTTCTTTCTTTCTTTCTTTCTTTCTTTCTTTCTTTCTTTCTTTCTTTCTTTCTTTCTTTCTTTCTTTCTTTCTTTCTTTCTTTCTTTCTTTCTTTCTTTCTTTCTTTCTTTCTTTCTTTCTTTCTTTCTTTCTTTCTTTCTTTCTTTCTTTCTTTCTTTCTTTCTTTCTTTCTTTCTTTCTTTCTTTCTTTCTTTCTTTCTTCCTTTCTTCCTTTCTTCCTTTCTTTCTTTCTTTCTTTCTTTCTTCCTTCCTTCCTTCCTTCCTTCCTTCCTTCCTTCCTTCCTTCCTTTTCTTCTCTGTCTTTCTGTCTCTTTCTTTCTGTCTGTCTTTTTTTCTTGTCTTTCTTTCTTGTCTTTCTTTCTTCCTGCCTTTCATCTCTGTCTTTTGTTTCATCTGTTTTCTCTCTTTCTCTTCTACTTTTTCATCTCTAATTTTATTTTCTATTTTTTCTTCCTTTCTTTCCTTCACCTTTTTCTTTCTTGCTTCCCCTCTTTCCTTCTCTCACTCTTT